GTACTGAGCATGATAGTGGGACAGGAGGAGAATCGAGGGAAATAGAGGAAAGAGCTGGGAGGCAAAGGGCATTTATAGAGGCCTAGATAAAGACATGTACATATGCAAATACATTTATATGAGGATGGGGAAATAGATCTATGAGCCTATATTTATAGGTTTAGTATTAAGGTAGCAGAAGGAAAGAACTTTCTTAGCGCAACTTGCCTGGTCTTTTTTTTATCATAAATGCAGTTTTTCATTTTCCTTAAACTTTTTCTGAAAAAGCCCCCATGTTCATCCTGTGTCCTTGGAGAAAATATATTAAGATTAATCCTTTAGAATAAAAAAATAAAAGAAGTCACCTTCTGAGGTGACTCTCTACTTCGAATTTAATTGGCCCAGCAGATGCTCCCAGAAGCCACTGTTTGATTTGCCCCTGCTTTCTGTATCGTACTGGTAAATCCAAGACTCATTCTCAGTTACTATTCATTCCATACGGTTATCTTTTTGCTTTGATCCTGCTCATAGACTGATAGAAAGATCAGCTTTTGATCTGGCTAATCTTCATGCAGCACTTTGGTGCCCACTCTTTTTTGAAGGTCTCCTACTGAGACTAAGACAAATGTATTACTAAGAACTTATCTGCAACCATCCACTGATTGTGGAGAAATGTTTAAAGACATTTTAACATTTAACACAGCAGCAATACTTTTTGACGGATCCTTGTATGCCCCCAAATGAAACATACAAACATTTATACACACATATTCATCATGTCTATAGTACCAAAATTAATACCATCATAATAAAGCATAATAGCTAAAAATGGTGTTCTATGCAATGGAATACTACTCTATAATAAAAAGAAATGAAACACTGATACATGCTTGAACATGGATGAACTTTGAAAACATTATGCTAAGTGGGGGGGGAGAAAGCCAGTCACAAAATATCCATTCATACAAAATATAGATACTTCAGGAGAGAAAGATGAACTTGTCTACTCCCATAAATATAGATGGTGTCAGAAACCCTATATAGAGCACCATGAGTTGGAATTAACCCCATGACAAGTGGGTTTGGGATGATGGGAAGCCTGGGAGGATGAGGTCTTTGGAGAATGATGGCTCAAGGATATGAAGTTTCTTTTCAGTGATGCAAATGTTCCAGAATCGTGTGTGGGGATGGCTGCACAACCCTACGTACATAGTGAAAGCCATGGAACTGTACGCTTAAAAAATTGTTACCCCAAAACTGAAAAGGGAATGAATAGCCAAAACCATTTCCTGAATGACTAAGAAAACAAACCCACAGTGTCAAATGCCAAGTGCCTACCACTGGGGAGACTAGAACTGTGGAAGTATCCGTTTAACTGTTTTATTTAACTACTTTAGGTGTCAGCCTATGATCTGGTCAAGAGCTGTTTCAGTGGAATGATGTCAAAGAGTAACTGGCAAGAAAGTTTTTGTGTTACTTTTGTACATATATTTTAATTTGAGGAGGGGGTGTTGAGTTTATGGGAGGGGACAAAGTGTAGCCCCCGGACACGGCTTTCTTGGATTACTCTTGTGGCACCGGAAAACTGAAGACAGCAGCTGTGATTACAAGGAACTACAAGATCAAAGTGGATGTTTCCTTCAAATGGGAGGAAATCGGCTTTGTTCGCCACTGAATACCCAGAGTCCAGCACAATGCTTGGCATTTCACAGGCCTTTTGGAGACTTCGAGCTGGCCGGCGGCGGACTCGCAGGATGCTGTTAAAAGCACAGGAATATTTCACTTCTGTACAAAGGGTCTGCCGGACCGGGGCGACGCACCCACCTTGGACCGCTCAGAAGGCCGGGGTAGGGAGAACAGAACCTGCGCTGGGGAGCGCCCAGAAGTGGGTGGGGACCGGAATGGCCCGCCTCCGGTTTCCCGCGGGCTTCCGGAAGCGCCTCTCCTTGCTTGCCCCTCTGCCCGCAGCGCAGGGCGGAAGTGTCATGATGGTGTCGCGCGTGATTGGTGAAAGCCGGGATTGCTTTGCGGCAGCGAGAAAATTGCTCCTCTCTTGACTTCCGCTCCTGGCCCACGTGTGAGAACGAGACTGGGAAAATGAGCGCGACCTCGGCAAAGAGGTGAGGGGCTAAACGGGAGACTGGGTCGCTTTGGGGCCCCAGGTTCTCCGGTTTGGGGGAAGTGGAAGCCGCCTTTGGACACACAGTGACGTCTTTCCCAAGGCCCCACTCATCACGATTGCTGCGATCCATTTTAAACTTCTCATGGAATGCATTGGGTTTCCTTCGCACCCGTTGCTGTTTGTCAGCCTAGTCCCTGGGGACTCCGAGGCGACTAGCTCTCCCTCTACACCGAAGCTACTATGTTTCCTTTTAGTTCTCACGTGATACCTCCTTCTTCCTCTGCCCGCTTTAGTCCTCTGCACTGGCAAATGCATGTTATTCACGCTCCTCATCTTGGAAATCGTTGCTAATTGGAGTCACCCCAACGTTTTCTCCTCTTCGATGTTTTGTGGTCCCCCCTCATGGGAGAACTAAGTGCATTTCGTTTAGTAATGGCTACCTGGCAGTTGTTGGTATAAACTGTTAGGTAATAGGACATTTTCTGTAGTGTAGGTTTCTGGGTTCCTATTCCTCAGTTAAGCAAATACTTTGCCTAGCAAGCCCTCGGGGGGAAAGGGCTTACACACTCAACTGCTTTTATCCATGTCCATGTTTCCCCAATCCTGAGAACAAGTGATCAGATGTCACTTTCTGAGTAGGCTGCGTATATCAGGATATCTGCCTTGTAGCCTTAGAAATAATTGTGAAACTGCCTTGTTCCAAGGGCTAGCGTTTACATCTTTTGCCACCTTATCTACATCTGGCATTTGTACTGCTTTGTAGAGGTCAGTGGGAAATGCACTACTAATCACTAAAGAATGTTAACTCAATTTCATATAGTTCTGGACTAGTTTCCCCAAGGACTTCTCACCTCTTAGGCGGAATGCCTAACTTCTGAAGTCCAAATTGACTATCTCGACCAAAGCTGTCCCTGTTGTTTGGACTATACCTGTACCTGGGGATAAGGCTATTTTGTGCTGAGAAGTGTACTTAGGCTGTTGAGATTGAACAGAAGTTCTTTCAAGTGATAACATGTTTTTTGTTTTCTCTATTGCATCCTTTAACAGCCTTCTGGCTTTGAGCCAGCAAGAAGAACTCGTGGATTTGCCAAAAGACTACCCTTTAAGTGCCAGTGAAGATGAAGTAGGTGACAACTATAATCGGCCCTCTCTCCTTTGCCTCCTGCCTCTCTAAATTAGGCTAGTTAGCAATGTTAGCTAGTAACATTGTATCTGTTTAGCACTCCCAAAGAAATACTGTGTTTCCTGTACATCACATTATATCAAGTGCTAAGAGGATTTGAAGTCGACGTTAAGATCCAGTTACTGTCCTCATGTTGCTTGAGTGGTCCATATTCTATGATTTGCCCATTTCCCAAGTTTGGATTTTTGTAGTTATTTACTGCAGTATCTATTGACAAAGTAATCTTTTCAGCTGGATCACCAACAAATGCTTTGGAAATTCCTTGTTCCCTTGACCAGATTGATGAACTTGGGGGGTGAGGGGGTGTGTGTCACAGAGCACCTACTTTAATGACAATGTGTTTTGTGTGTTTTCTGGTGTGTTTCTCTCCTCCTTCCCCTATGTAAAAGCTGCCATGGTTAGTGTGTGTGGCCTAGGATTTATGCTGTCAGGTCACACTGCCCACAAGCATTATTCTCCTAACATGTTTCTGTCCCAAACAAGTTATGCTAGGGTCGTCACCTGCAGGCTCTTGAGGCCCCAGGGCCCTTATAGTAAGGAGTCTGGTTTGTGAAGCAGTTCGTAGTTTGGATTAGAATTTCTGCACATGAGACCTTCCTTATTTGATTTCCCAATTCCCCACTGACTTACCTTTCCCCACCACCCCAAAAAGAAATGGTACATGAGCCTGGAGTTCCGCATTATCTTTTCTCTCCTCATTGTCCTGTGTTGTTTTTTTCCCTCCCTTTTCTGTGTCTAGGGGGAAAATGATGGAGAGAGGAAGCATCAAAAGCTTCTGGAAGCCATTAGTTCCCTCGGTGGGAAGAATAGGTAATGTTTCTAGCAATTTGGGTGGTTTAGAACTAGCCAGATTCCATGAGGCTTGCCTGTCACTAGCACTCATTAAACGGTAATACAGTGGATTAGGGTTAAGGCTGCTAGCCGCAAAATGGACAGTTCAAATCCACCAGCTGCTCTCAAGGAGAAAGATCAAACTGAAAAGATTTAGTCTTGGAAACCCTAGGGAACAGTTCTACTTTGTCCTAGAGGTTCATTTTGAGTTGGAACTGACTCACCAGCAGTGGGTGGGTTAAGTCAATGAAGACTTGAGTGTTGCTTAGCTCTCAAGTTATAATATAGTACAGTTAGCAAGACCATTTGTGGGCAAGCTACTTATCCTCTCTATACTTCAATTTCCTCAATTATAAAAGAAGGGTACAAATAACCCTTACTTGTTGAATTGGCATGTTTTGTTATGTATATTTTCACCACAATTAAAAAAGAAAAAAGTACTACTTATTTCACAGGGCCCTGAGGTTGAAATGAATCAAGGTCTTATAGTGCCTGGTATATAGTACACATTATCTCCTTGTTAGCTATCACTATCATGATTGCTATCATGATGTTAGTCATGGGTACATTGGCATTCCTACTCAATCCATACTTGAGTCTTTGTTAGTACTGATCGGATATTATTTGGTTGGAAGTCACCGAATTCACAAAAAGTCCAACTCCAGGTGTGTCTGAATCCCAGTCCAATTCCTTTTCCACTATGCCTACCTTGTCTTGCCTGTGTTTTGGTGGAGCACATGTACATTAAGAGGAAAGGTGAAGGCTAGATTACCACCTCTCATTCTAGTAAGGCAAATATTCATAGTCTGTGAATACAAGTGTCCAGGTTCAGAACTAGTTCCCTTATGATGATGAAACCTAACTCTAGGGGGAAAATATTTGAAACCTAAGCCTTGTTTAAACAGATAAATTTTTGTTCCCCTAGCAAAATGTACCAGTTCATGCTGTATTCTTTTGTGCCTAATTTCAGGTGGAAATTGACTGAGCGATCAGAAGCCAGTCTGAAGGTGTCAGAATTCAATGTCAGTTCTGAAGGTAAGTTAAAAACAGACAAATAACCATGCATCATCTTTCTCCCTAGGAACTCTTTCATGTTGTTAATGAATTGTACCATAAATGCCTGAAAGTAGGTGAAGACGAGAAGTCAGATGCCCTTTAGTTTCTCCTGTTTCTTCTAGGCTAGGGTCAAGTCCTTGTTACAGGGTTTGGTGGAATACTCCTGAAGTATAAGAATCTGAGAGTGGCTGCCTGACTAGCTTAGTATTTGTACAGCTTTGTTAAGTGGTCAGTATTTCATTTGTATTTCAGTTCTTACAGTAGCCTTCTCAAGAAAGCTCATGATGCGTTCTCAAGGACCTTTATTCTTCTAGTACAGTGTGTCCTTATTTTTTTTAATTGTCTTCATAAGCAACCTTTTTAGACTTTTCCCCTTGATTGCCACTTCCTCCTAGCCCCAAGAAATTAAATACTATGGAATAATATTTTGTTGTGTAGGGGTGATCTTTGGAGGGATATAAATCTTGGTGATACTTGAGATTCAACCACTCAATTCAACTTTCACCCCATTGGTGGGGAAGGGCACAATATTTCCCCTCAAGAACACAGTGACAGAACTGAGATTTTAATCTGATATCAAGTTTAGATACCAACTCTTTTTTTCACCACATTTACAATTTAACATAGCTTGAATGAACTTGTGCTTGTAGTAGATACTAATGTAATTTCTTTGAGCCAAAAACAGTATAGAAGCTTATTAACTCAGAAGATCATTTTTTTCTTCTTTACCAGGTTACAAACATTTAATTTTACATGCAACCAGTAATTACAGACCCCTGGAAAGCCTGTTTTGTCTGCTAAATTTTTGAGGTACAGACAATGGCTCATAATGACAAAACAGGTGCTACTTTACAACAAATTAAACATGGCGTAGTTAGAAATGCTTTTCTTTTTAAAAATAGTTTTATTGGCATATACTTTACACATCATACAATTTAATAATTCAATCACATTAAGATGAGCTGTATACATTTCGCCACACAAAATTTCAGAATATTTTCCTCTTGCACTCATTGTTAGCTCTCCATTTACCCCATCCTCCCCTGCCATGCCCCTAGGCAATTAGCAGTCCAGTTATTGTCTATATAGATCTACTTATCTTCAATTTCATATACAGAAACTCATACAAAACACAAGCAAGAAGCAAACAAATCAAAGAACAATGACTACCATAGAAACACCTCAGTTGAAAAGAAAGCAGAAATTATTAAAACCTGAAACAACTTTAAAATGGGTCAAAAGGAAGAACAAATGATAAGGTATTACATTTTAATCTAACTGCTTCCTCCATAGTTGACATTACAGTGCTCATGTCTTGATAGCAAGGGTATTCATATCCTTTGGACTGTGTACAGAGGAGATTCATTAGAGACTTTATCCATGTGGGGAACGTGCAAGGAGATTTTGGGCTTTGACAGTTATCTGTAGCTTACTGCAAATCAGGTGTTCAAAATTTAAGCCCTGTATCATTCTCTCTTTCATATTTGGGTTTTATTATTTACAATACTTAGATGACACAAGCTGGTGTGCTTCTTTCTGATAGCTGGGCACCCTGTGGTTTCCTCACCAATATATTCAGTGATCACTTCATGAGGGAAAGCATTGAACAGTCTTTTCTTTTTCCCCTTTGATTGAAATTTAATAAAAAAATAAATAAATTTAACAGAAAGGTGAATATACTTTGTTAATCTTAATACAAATGTAAACGTGGGCGGGCATTTTATCATCTGAAATAGTTAAGTATGAAAACACAAGTCTGAGTGAATGAACAAACTTAACAAAATTGATAAATAATTAAAATATAGATTATATTCTTTTAAAAATCATTTTATTGGGGCTCATACAGCAGTTTTCAAAATACATCAATCCATTCTGTCAAGCACATTTGTACATTTGTGGCCATCATCATTTTCAAAACATTTTCTTTCTACTTGAGCCCTTGACTCAATATCAGCTCACTTTTCCCCTCCCTCCCTCCCTAATGAACCCTTGATAATTTACAAATTATTTTTTTCATGTCTTTCACCGACTGATGTCTCCATTCACCCACTTTCCTGTTGTCCATCCCCCAGGGAGGGGGTTATATGTGGATCATTTTGATAGATTTCCCCTTTCTCCCCCAACCTTCCCCTTCCTGTCCTGGTATCGCTACTCTCATTATTGGCTGAGGGGTTTATCTATCCTGGATTCCCTCTTATCTGTACCAGTGTACATCCTCTGGTCTAGCCAGATTTGTAAGGTAGAACTGGGATAATGATAGTGGGGCGGAGGAAGCATTAAAGAACTAGAGGAAAGTTGTATGTTTCATTGCTGCTACACTGCACCCTGACTGGCTCATCTCTTCTTTGTGACCCTTCTGTAAGGGGATGTCCACTTGTTTACAGGTGGGTTTTGGGTCTGCACTCTGCACTCCCCCTCATTCACATTGATATGATTTTTGGCTCTGGGTCTTTGATGCCTGATACCTGATCCCATAGACACCTCATGATCACACAGGCTGGTGTGCTTCCATGTAGGCTTTGTTTCTTTTTAGCTAGATGGCTGCTTGTTTAACTTCAAGCCTTTAAGACCCCAGACACTGTATCTTTTGATTCTCGGGCACCATCAGCTTTCTTCACCACATTTGCTATGCACCCATTTTGTCTTCAGCAATCGTGTTGGGAAGGTGGGTATCACAGAATGCAAGGTTATTATAAAGAAGTGTTCCTCCATTAAGGGAGTACTTGAGTTGAGTAGAGGCCCAATGTCTATCTGCTAGCTTAATACTTAACATATAAATATATGTACATTGATCTATTTCCCTGATATATATATGTATATGACTGTATTTAGATCTCTGTAAATGTCCTTTGTCTCCTAGTCTTTTCCTCTATTTCCTTTTATTTTCCTCTCGTCCCACTATCATGTTCAGCCTTCATTTGGGTTTCAGTATCTCCTCTCAGTTACATTGCCCTTGATCAAGCCCTACCAGGCCTCGTACACCCTCCACGCCATCAATTTTAGATCACTTGTTGTTCCCTTGTCCTTGGGTTTATTAATAACCACTTGCTTATCCCCCCTCCCCACCTCCCGTGTCCCCCCAAACCATCATTCCCTTTGTTTTCTCCCCTGGTTTGTTTTTCTTGCCTATCTTATCTCAATAGGCATACAGAGACAATAATAACCACAGAAACAATACAGAGCAAAACAAAATAACAAAATCAAAAAATCAATGGCCAAAAAAAATGAAAAGCTTATAAATAGTTCTAGGTCTGTTTGTTGACCTTTAAGGATGTTTTCTAGTTGAGTCTGATGGGGTACCACACTGTCCCCAGTCTATTTTTGGTATTTCCGGAGACTTAATTTCTTTGCTCCCTTTGCTGCTCTGTTGCATACCCTTAGTGTTTCGCCTCAGTCTGATGGGGTCAGATCTGGCACAATTCCTTAACTGTGCTTCCAGTGCTGTCCCTCATAGCAATATGGGTCAATAACAGACATCTTGTTTCGTGGTGAGGCCAGCCCTATAGTCCTCTCTCTGCATTGGCTGCTCTGAGCAGAAATCTTGTCCTCAGGGCTTGATGAGCCAAGATGTGCTCCACTTTAGCTCCTTCCCTCTTTGTTTGCTCCTGTGTGCTATGATCAGATGATCAGTGCTGTCCTCAGAAGTGCATTCTTCTTGGAGGGACGGGGTGGTGTTCACGAAGTTGGAATTGGGGCTGGCCCTGCAGAACTCACATCGAGCAGTCTTAAGACTAAAAAATACTTTTAATTTTTTAAGTCTTTTTTGTTTGTTAATCTAACAAATATATAAAAATTTTTGAAAAATGAGTCTTAAGACTAATTTTTTTTTCATTGAGGCTAGAATTAAGTGTGAAAACAAAATCCATTCCTATATTTATGGCTACATATGTCTCTGGTTCATTTTATGTTAAATAACATTATCGCTCATCCCCCCCCTGGGCATAAGGTAAGTCTATTGATAATGTCATGAATTTAGCCAATGATATAGAATTTAAAACAGTATTAAACAAAGGAAATTAGACTTGTATAGGAACTCAGCAAGTCTCAAAAGATGTGCTACCATGTTAACAGTATCAGGAACTGCACTAGATCCTAACAGTAGAGTCTAGAACAGTTGTTCTCAACCTTCCTAGTGCCAAGAGCCTTTAATACAATTCCTCATATTGTAGTGCCCCCCAAACATACAATTATTTTCGTTGCTACATCATAACTGTAATTTGGCTACTGTTATGAATCGGTCGAACCCTGTGAAAAGCTCGTTCAACCCCCCAAATGGGTTGTGACCCACAGGTTAAAAACCACTGCTCTACAATGCGACATGCCCTCTTGGGGCTTGCATCCTAATAAGGGAAAATGGGGTAATGCAATAAGGTGAGTCAGTGACACTTTAGACTGTTTTTGTACAAAGGCTCAATGCATGGTGAAATAAGGACTCTGAAAAGACAAAGAAGGGACCACCTCATGTTAAGAGATTAAGACTGGACAAAGTAATACAAACATTAAGCCTGTTTAAAGTTCAGGAAGAATACCAGTGTGATTAGAGCACAGTGGGCGCTGGCAATGGCATGAGATTGGAGGGGTAGTCAGGTAGCATAACTCATAGGGCAATGGCTTTATATCAATTTGACATTGATTATATTCTGAATGTAATCCAGTGATAGCTTTTCAGCAAAATATGACACTTGATTTCTGGTAGAACAACGGTTTAGCCGAGAGTTAAGAATAGAGGCACAAAACACCAAAACAAAACAAAAGAGATGGTCTTCTTCTGCCCAACCAAAGGAGCCATGGTAGTATAGTGGTTGCACATTGGGCGGTTAAAAATGCAAAGGTCAGCAGTTCAAAGTCAACAACACCTTCTCCAGAGAGAGACTCGATATTCTACTACTTCCAAGTTACACTCAATTGTACTTAAGTGCCGTCTTGCTCTCACCCAAAGGAGGCCGGTGGCATAGTTGTTGCACATTGGGCTACTATTAACACTGGATGTTCATAACCCCCA